AAAATGTCTATTATTCCTATTTAGGTATTTTGCCTAATTACACAATAAAATTTTCCATTTTTCCTCTTAGTAGTGACATCACTAATGAAAATGAAAATCTACAGCATGGAAGTGATAGTAATGAGGATCCTTTGTCCAGTTCTGAAGACGATTCAGGGATAACACCGCTTAATCTTTCCAAGAAACCAGATGCAAATCTTACTGATGTACATACATACACAAGCACTCTCCAAATAGAAAAACAGAACTGCATGGAACTGCAGGAAATGCCTTTGAATCTTTCAGTGAAGGACAACTATCATGTAAATTTATCTCTCCAGGGCTCATCATATGAAACTAAAGATCATAACTCTCTAAAAGCTGAAAATAAAGATTTGGGGACAGATATATGTAACCCTAAGAATCAAACAGACAAAGGTTCCTTCAGTAAGTCTCTTACTGTGATGCCTATAAAAGAAGTGCAGGAACCAAGGACAATTGAGAGTTGTGATGAACAGAAACAAACTGCAGCTGTTGCTCTCTGTCAGTTAGCTGCCTACAGTCCAAGTACAGTTCAAAAAGAGAGTGCAGAGAAAAGTAATCAAGACAGCAATTCTCAGTATGCAGATTCCATCCCTGAACCATCAGAAACCCAGAATAATCACTGTAGTCAGAAAACAAAAGGACATAAAAGGACCAATCACAGAGAAGCAACAAAACCACAGCAAGGAACCAAAAGAATACGAACGAACGAATGCAGTCGAGTATTCACTCTGAGAAAGAGAACAAGGATATCATAATATTGTTCCACCAAATACATAATAGAGTTCATATGTACGTTATCCAGCAGAAAGCTAGACATTCTTTTCAGTATCAATTTTTATTTTTTAGTTTGCAGACTCATTTATTCCATTCAGTTGAACTATGTAAATATTAAAATGTCTTTAAAATTGTATATATGTTTTAAAGTAACTGAAATGTCTTATAATTATCTTTTTTTTAAGTAAACATTTAAATGTAAAACTGAAGCTAAATGACAATTTCTTAAATGCACTATTGTAGAAACTTGCTTGTTAAATGCACTATTGGGAAAACATTTTATTGTAAAGATACAGCTTGTAGAAGCACAGATATCTGATTCCTGATATAAGAGTGTTCTATTCTGTCTCTGACTTACTTCATTTTCAAATCTTTTTATTTTATGTTGTTGTTCAGTATATTTTTGTTGTGTTATCAACATTTGAAGAATGAAAATTTCCAATTGCTTAAGCTTAATGTTATTGAATTCTGGTTGATAATATATTGGAGCACTCATATTAAACCTTACTAAAATACAGATTTGGTATTGTGTTTTTCCCACATCAAATGACCCAATGTAAAGACGTTATGGTATAAATTTTACGTCCTAAATTAATCAAATTAATTAAAATTTAGGACCTAAATCTAACAATGTAGAGGTTTCCCACACAAGTGCTTACATGTTTAGTTAACTGTAACTAAAGTACCAAGTACCCGGACAAATACAACCAAGAAATTATTTATTTCAATCCATATTAGAAAGAATCCTGTGGTGTTAATTCTATATTTTGCATCGATACGAGTCTGTAACATTAAAGTAACAGTATGCTCAGTCTATTGGGATCAGAGAATGTTTCATAAACTTGTTGGTAACAATTTTCCATTTCACAAGTTACACAATAGTCATTTTTCCTGTTTACAATAAAACGATGTATATTGTAGTTGCAAAAAAATAGCTTGCAAAGAAACAAACCATAAAAGCTGAAGCAGATAAATCTTCAGTATCATTGAGAATATTCCTCAGAAAGTTACAAATCATGTATCTTTGCAAATATCAGCTGTAACAATGTTTAGCTAGGGATAAATAGATCATTCTATTTCTGGTTCATACCAATATTGCATTTGTTCAGTATATTCCATTCCATTTCTGCTATAAAGTACATTTTACATTTTGCACAAAAATCAAATGTCTATTAAAATCTGTATTTAAATGTTATTTATGTACATAATATTGAATATTTTCCAGCAAAATATACCTTTATAAGTATAATTTACCTAAGTATATGCATTTTTAGTATATTTCATCCTAAAATACATCTTTCTTTCTTGTTATATTTTTAGCACCAAAATCTACAAAATTCAGAGAAGTGCTGAAAAGTGTAGATCATAACAGCTCCTTCTCTTTCTTTTGACCAGAATTCAGAAAGGTCAAATTGCTCAAGTATCCCAATATTTACAAGGGTTCTATACAGAATCTAAAAATAGTATGAAAATTAACCAGAGGACTTAAAATCTCAAACCAATAGAGAATTGGCCAGCTATGATAAGTGATTAGTGAAGATAGTACAGGTAGTCCTCAGTTAATGACAGTATTTGGGACTGGCAACTTCATTGCTAAGGGATGCGGTTGTAAAGCACAACATCACTTGACCACGCCGACTTACAGTGGGAGTTCCAGTTGTGGTCATTAAGCGAATCTTGCATGGTTGTTAAGCGTGTCATAATGTGATCACCATTGCAACCTCCCGCTGGCTTCCCCATTGAGTTTGCTTGTTGGAAGCCAGCAGGGAAGGTTGCAAATGACAATCATGGGATCATGGGATGCTGCGATGTCATAATTGCAAGCCACTTGCCAAGTGCCCAATCCCAATCACATGACCACAGGGATGCTGCAAGGACCAGCTGTAAGTCTTCTCATTCATTCTCATCGTAACTTCGTACAGTTGCTGAATGGTTGTTAACTGAGGACTACATGAATAACTCAGATGAAACTAGGGCAGTTTGATAAAAAAAATTGTCAGCAGCAAAGACAGTGCTAGACTTGGTATGGGAAAATGTGGGTTCAAATTCTTTTTTGGCTTCTTTGATTATGAGGCCTGGTGCTTGAAGAACAAAACCTTTCAATAACAGATCTTGAGGCCAACTTTAAAGTTAACAAAAAACATAGTAAATGGGGGTTATTAAAAAACAGTAAGTACTACCACAATAGTATTTTAGGACAAGTTTTAAAACATTGGAGGACGGTAAGGGTCAAGCTAGACATTCAGGACAGACAGTGGAGACTTCCAGTTCCATGTAAGCCCAGTTTTGGGGACACAATTTTGTCAGGACCAAGGCACAAGCAACCTGCAGGTGCTTACAGCATGGCTTTCAATATGAAATTGAAATCACAGTTAATCCATATTTCCCAAATATTTCCCAATTTTCCCAAATACTAAAATCCCAATCAATGTCATCACTAATATCTTGAATTTGGGCCAGAGGTTTACTGGCAACTAGCACAATACTTTAAGAAAAGTAAAATAGTTTCTCTAAATAGTGTCCAAACAATTTAGCTGCTGCATTTGCATAACTGTAGCTTCCACATTATCTTCAAGGGGAACACCATAATGAACAGAAAGAGAACAACCCATACAAGGCAAGATATGTGCCAAATTTCGACCAGGGAACTACTAATTTACAGAGAATTTTATCCCACTGGGATTCTGTCTCAGTGTACTAACTTTCACCCCATCCACTCTATCAGCCTCATAGACGTATCTGACTCTGACGAAAAGAGCCTGAGCCAGCCCAAAAAAAAAAGTGAAGGTAGGAAGGTAGGAAGGTAGGAAGGTAGGAAGGTAGGAAGG